AAAATAAGGTGCTGTGAATTTCAAATTCAGTTCACAGTAGGCACTGATGGTTTTAATACAGTACTTTTGTCTTCTAAAGTGCTGTGTCATTTAAAATGTTGTTTTAATAAGGTAGTGACATAAGGTTTAATAAAATTGTTTTGAAATGCCATGCCTGTTGCCTTTTCCCTGTATACATTATTTATTAAAAAAAACTTGCCTTTTATTTCTGTGAACAAGACAAAGTGATAATTTTCTCCCAATTGCTTACATTGAGATACATCCCACTCTAATGGTTTTGTGGTCACAATGATTCATCTCCTTACATTGTGAAACATTATTTGCCAGTGTGCCCACCAAATGCAATTTGATGTTGATGAATGGCATTGCTGATTACTTGCTCTTTAGTTGGAGTGTGTCTACAACAGATTTAGCTAGAAAGGGGATTACGCCCTTGCATCTAAATTAAACAGTACTGAAAGAAAAGACTTGTATTTCACAATGAATGGTTTACATTGTGATTTTTTTTCCCTTCTTTATGCACCAGTGGTTGGTCATGCAGGAGTACTGAAAGAGCCCCGTCCTCTGAAAATAATTAAGTTTATGACACAAGAATGCAAACAAATTAATGCATTGATGAAGCAACATTAATTATGAGTTAGCTGCTGTTTTGCTGAAAAGAGTCCAAATTTACCTTTCCAGAAATTTGCCATCCAAAAAGAAGGTTGAATAAGCACCAGAAAATGGAATGATACATGATTGGGACTATTTACCTTCAATTCTTTGCCCTCCCTTCTGAATGTTGGTGACATACACAGTGGTGTAATTCCATAGCTAACAAGTATTTTCCAATGTCTCGTGTGAGTGCCCATCGTTCATTCCAGTTCAGACACGTTGATTATTTTGACATGAGCGCAGCTACAGCTTCAACCCTGCATGTCCCAGAAAGGTTAATTCATTTGCAGTGCAAACTCACTTTTCATTATATAAAGAGTAATGCAATCACAATTTGATGTCTGATTCTCTAGATGGACACTTTTTTTTAAAACAAGTGCAGCAACTTTCAAAGGCAATAAGAAGACTTTGTTATGCTTTTCAATACATCAGGATTTCTCTAAATGCTTCACAGCCAAACAATCACATTGGATGTAGAGCCACAAATATAGTACAGCAGACACAGGAGCCAATTTGTCCACAGGAACCTCTCAAAAGCACAGAGGTGATATTGACCAGAGTCAGGTTTTGTGATGCTGGTTGCAAGGTAAATGTCAGCCAGCTAAATCCCTTGGTACTTCTTCCAAAAAATGTCATTGAATCTTTTACATCTGCAAGACAGAGCAGAGGTTTCACATCTCATTCATAAGAAACACCTCAACATTGTAGGCTGAAGGCCCAAAAACTGAGGCCCAGCACTCTAGGCAGCCCACTGTGATCAGGTCATTGAGAGATAGGGCTGATGTGGTCAGGTCGGGGGACTTATGCCAGGAGCAACATTGGAGCCTGTGATTTCTGTTCCTGCCTGTAACAGCACTTCTTACTGAACTGCAGTACCAGCCCAGACTTTTGTACTCAAGCCCTGAGTAGCCTTGAATGCACACAATTCAGACTCAGAAATGAGAGTGCCATTGACTGAATCATGGCTGACACACTCAACTCTTCAATGCTTATTTCGATCAATGAAATATACAATATAAAATATTAACATGGTCACATAATAAATGTGTCGGGGCTCAAATGACTTCAGAAGGATTGTGCTACAAATAATATTCTGTATGGAGTGATTTCAGCCTAGTTCATTTCAAAGTATTCAGCTTTGACATTTTGCAGTTCACTGCTCGGGTCATAAAAGTGCCTAGTCTTCTTCTTAGATTACAAGAGATTTGATGCATTTCTATTGGCTAAGGGCATTAAGGGCTCTGTATTAAAAGATCACTACCACTTTCTTAAGGGCAGTTACGGAAAGGCAACAAATACTGGTCCAGTCAGCAAAGCCTTCATTCTCTGAATGGATAATGTAATGTAATGCACAAGCTACCAATAGAAAACTAAATACACAACAGGTCAGTCATGAAGAAGAAACACAAGCATAAGATGTAAGATGTTGGAGCTAAAGTAGGCCATTCAGCCCATTGAGTCTGCTGTGCCTTTCACTGAGATTATAGTGATCATCTGATAATCCTCAACTCCACTTTCATGCTTTATCCCCCATTCACCTTGATTCCCATACTGATTAAAAATCTATCTCAGCCTTGAATATACTTAACGATCCAGCCTCTACAGCCTCTGTGGTAAAGAATTCAATGGAATCTATACAGCCTGAGAGAAGAAATTCATCTTCAACTCTGTCTTAAATCAATGATCCCTTACGTTGTGGTTATGCCCTGTAGTTGTAGATTCTCCCACAAGGAGAAACTACTTTTTCACATCTATCTAACAGCAGCCTGGTAGCTGCATTGCAATGAAAGGTGTTGGTGCACTCCAAAGCACGCTGTTGAAATGGAGGCTATATTTTAAATGAATTGGAGATGTGCCATGATGATAATATGAGTTTGGCGGGTGTCCGATTCTAACCTGCATAGCTAAAAAATGAAGGCAGTTGTCACCCTTGGCATAGGGAAGCAAGCAGCAAGCTGGAGTGACCAGGTACCCACTCTGATTTTCATGCTAGGAATTGTTGCCATCCTGTTTCTCTCTGCCCGTGAGAGAATAGCAAACTATGTATAAATGAGGTGCGAATAAGTAATGATGAGATGTTATTGCATGCAAATAGGCCTCTCAGCACTCAATAGTGAAATTGTTCAAAGCTTGGGTAAAAAATCGGACCTTCTTTCTTGACATCAAGAATCTAATTTTTCTGATCTCGCTATCATTTTCCTATTGACTGTACATTGTCCATATCACTCAGGGACTGGGAAAATTCAGCCCTGTGTCCTTGAAGCCTGAATTGGCAATTGGCTGCAGATACAGCAGTCAAACATGGTCGGAAAATTACTGCTGTCAGGACCAGCAGGGAGGAGGTGGGCCTTAGGCCAGTAGTACCCTGCAAGCTTCTCTGAAGTTCAAAAAAGCTCTTTAATAAAGTTATTAACCCCCTTTATGAAGAGAGCTGATGGAAGCATTTGCTGAATGCTTCTGAAATAGATCCTTGCATCTCTCACTAAACCAACTACTAATGCTGCAATATGCAACCTTTCGGACAGGTGAGCATCCGAGATACACCCTGCCACTAACAAGGATCTCCCAATTCCAATACTGATTAAAGAGCTTCCCTCCCTGACCTTATAAACCTTCAAGATATCGGTGCAAGGAATTTTAGGTCGGCATGGGGCAACAGTTTTCCTGAGATATGGCTTCCGCTGAATTTCAACTTTTTTTTATAAAAACAGAAAGAACTGCCGATGCTGTAAATCAGGAACAAAAACAAAGTTGCTGGAAAAGCTCGGCAGGTCTGGCAGCATCTGTGAAGAAAAAAATCGGAGTTAACGTTTTGGGTCCGGTGACCCTTCCTGACATGCTGAGCTTTTCCAGCAACTTTGTTTTTGTTCAACTTTTTGATATTGAGAGAAGAGATGAAAGTCTTGCATTGGTGTAGTGAGTTTCATAGCCATTGATTGCCTCAAAGCACTTTACAGCCAAAGAAGTATTTTTTGAAGTGTTGTCACTGTTTAATGTAGAAAATGCGGCAGCTGATTGGCTCTCAAGTGTCCACAAACAACCATATGAAAACGACCATATAAACTGTTTTTTTTACTGTGATGCTTATTGATGGATAAATCGTAGCCAGGGCACTGGAGAGGTTTCCCCTGCTCTACTTCAAAATAAGCCCATGGGATCTTTTGCATCCACCCAGATGTGGCCTCTGTTTAACATCTCAAAAAGATAGAAACTTTGACAGTGTTAAGCTTCCTAAATACTTAACTAGAGTAACAGCCTCGTATTTTATTCTTAAGCTGTGAGGTGGAATTTAAATGGATTCGGGAAATGGATTCATCTTCAACTCTGTCTTAAATCAATGACCCCTTACGTTGTGGTTATGCTCTGTAGTTGTAGATTCTCCCACAAGGAGAAAGTACTTTTTCACATCTATCTAACAGCAGTTGTCACCCTTGGCATAGGGGAGCAAGCAGCGAGCTGGAGTGACCAGGTACCCGAGATCACTGAAAGTTGCCACCCAGGTTGATAGCGTTGTTAAGAAGGCGTACAGTATGTTAGGTTTTATTGGTAGAGGGATTGAGGTCATGTTGCAGCTGTACAAAACTCTGGTGCGGCCGCACTTGGAGTATTGCGTACAGTTCTGGTCACCGCATTATAGGAAGGATGTGGAAGCATTGGAAAGGGTGCAGAGGAGATTTACCAGGATGTTGCCTGGTATGGAGGGAAGGTCTTATGAGGAAAGGCTGAGGGTTTTGAGGCTGTTTTCGTTAGAGAGAAGAAGGTTAAGAGGTGACTTGATAGAGACATACAAGATGATCAGAGGATTAGATAGGGTGGACAGTGGGAGCCTTTTTCCTCGGATGGTGATGGCTAGCACGAGGGGACATAGCTTTAAATTGAGGGGTGATAGATATAGGACAGATGTCAGAGGTAGGTTCTTTACTCAGAGAGTAGTAAGGGCGTGGAGTGCCCTGCCTGCAAAAATAGTAGACTCGCCGACTTTAAGGGCATTTAAATGGTCATTGGATAAACATATGGATGATAATGGAATAGTTTAGGTTAGATGGGCTTCAGATTGGTTTCACAGGTCGGCGCAACATCGAGGGCCGAAGGGCCTGTACTGCGCTGTAATGTTCTATGTTCTACCCACTCTGATTTTCATGCTAGGAATTGTTGCCATCCTATTTCTCTCTGTCACGTGAGAGAATAGCAAACAATGTACAAATGAGGTGCGAATAAGTAATGATGACATGAGTCTTGTGTTTCAGAGTGTTCTCTGCATAACAGCCACCAATGACATATGTGTTAACATAGTGCTGATAATTTGTAAGATGTACTGTATCTTTAATTTGTATTTCACTTTTAAGGGACAACTTGGTGACCAAGGTATTCCAGGTATACCTGGCTCTCAAGGCATACAGGTAGGGCATTGCAACTATTTTCTATGTCTTTCTGATGTAATCTTACTGTAATATAGTCTTGCCTTGTGCTGACCTACCCTTGCACACCATCCATCGTTTCCATGCCACAATTCCAGAACTAAAGACCCTCCCTCTATTTTCTAAATTTGAGTTCTTCCAGTCTGTCAAACCCTGAAATAGTTGAAGCCAAATCTGTCTATTTTTGATTGAAAACATTTCCACTAACATTTTTAAATTTGTTTTTACATACTCAACTCCAGTCCACAGAAGATTGCATCATAGAAAGGAACTATTTAGCCTATTATTTCAGTGCAGGATTTATCATAGTGCAATTCTAAATTTCCAATCCAATAATCTCCCTTCCCATCTTTCCACAGAGCCCTTTATTTTCCACCTATACCTAACTGTTTTTCCTTTAAACAATATAATAGTTTCTGACTGAACCACTTCATGTTGAAGCAGTCTGTGTTTCAATCATTTGTTTTCCAGTAGAGATTTTCTTCACTTCATTTTCTAAGTAGCACTATTATATTGATGTCTCCTCATTATGGATTCCCAACCAAAGACACCTTTATGTATTTTCTCTCTTAAAACCTTTTATAATTTTTGGTTCTTCAGTGGAAGTTGCCTGAGTACTTCACACTTTCCCTCATAACTGAAACTTCCATTCCCTGACATTTGTTTTGGTGAATTTATAAACTGAATTTTCTATGATTTTCTGATCTCTGTCTCAAATGGAGCGTTGGAAACTACACACAGCTTTCCAACTGGCCTAGCCAAAGATTTTACAAATTTATGTGGGTGAGTGCTACAGCTCCTCACTGGCACATTAGGACGTGTTGGGGGCAGGAAAAATGGAGCAGGTGTGTAACCCATCACTTTCCCACCCAAAGACATAGTAAGAACTGATGATGCTGGAGTCAGATATAACACAGTGTGGAGCTGGAGAAACACAGCAGGCCAGGCAGCATCATTGGAGCAGGAAAGTTGACATTT